ATCAAAAACAACATAAACAAGGATAGAAATATTAGCGAAATTATGCTAGATACTATTAACAATAAAAAAGAGAATTATAGATCGACAGTTGGTAAATAAGAAAGATAAAAATATTAGAGAAACTATGCTACTAGATACTATTAACAATAAAAAAGAGAATTATAGATCGACAGTTGATCTTTTCTCTTTACTCTGTTGCACAGAAGGAGGACGAAACACAGAAAGCAATAAAGCTGACTATGAGAGAACGAAGATTTATCAAATTTGCATCGGTGGAATATGATGGGCAACTGTACATGACGCCTCAGGACTTCCTCGACAGTGTTGTTGAACCTGAGCCCAGACGTGAGTATTAAATAAATTCGCAGGAGTTGTAATAACTACGCCGGTTTACGATAATAACTCTCTTTGTCTTTGATAACAAATGCCCCTGTATTTTGCATAATGCAACATCGAAAACGAAGTAGTAAAAGATAGCAGTGTTGCCGACGAACGGTGCTACCTTGTACGATGACGTTTCATTTTATGAATAAAATTGAATTTTATACGAAATAAGTGCGGGTTCTTTTTTTTCTGCCGTATTTGTCTCGCGTTCAACAAATAATCATTTTTAATGCCTTGTACGAAATAGCAGATACTCATTTTAATATATCCTAAGATGAATAAAATTGGCTTATTAACGTGCTTATTTGTGTATGTAAATTTAAAAAAATATAATTGCTTGTAATTTAAAGATAATATAAAAAGTGATTCGCTTAAACACTAAAATTACATGTCTCCTGGTCTTTTTGTAATGTTAAATGGTGGTTTAACATTTTTATCGAATGTCAAAATTACCTTACTCTACTTTACCAACATCGCGAAATAAGAAGTGTATGTCTAAAGAAGTTCGTTTTTGCAATCGATCAAATTTTTCGTTTAATTAACGGGAGATCTTAAAGAAAGGAATACAATATTCATAAAGTTGCACAGATAGCTATTTACATGTTAATAATGTTTGTGTACGGTTCTATGAGGCAAAGATATATGGTTAGGCTGCGAAGTCCACTGAATACAAGTGTATTATGAACATACAACTTAAATGACTATTTGCAATGAGTTAAGTAGCACTGACGAGATTGATAAAGATGACTACCAAGCACTCACTGAACAAAACACATTAATTCGGTGTCTTGTCTCGCAAACTTCAATATTCATTTATAAAAAATCCAATTCAATTTTAATGTTTAAAATAATTTCCGTTATTTTAGATGACCATTTGTTCATTTTTTCGGGTAACTGAAGAATTCTCGTCGATTGTGAGTCAAACCGAATTAATTTGTACACCTAATATATTTTTACATTTCTTTATAATTTTATACACCGTTATATCAATCACTAACATTTAATTCCTTGCCTGGAAGACTGAAAAAGAAATAACCTACTTTAACCAATGCACTTTACAAGAACAATCGCTTTAATCCACACCTGTTATGTGTTACCTTACTAATGTGTGAAACACTTTATTCCTTGTACGGAAATTAGGTTCGTTTGACCCAAAATCAAGTCATAGATTCTTTTTCTTTTGTTATGGAATGTATTGCATTTGGACTGAAACTTTTTCATATCCTTAAATATCTAATAAACATTAATATCTTTGCAAAGAAGAACAAAATTTGTACGATTTTTTTAGTGGAAACCAATTAAATTTCTCATTCACACTTATGGAATTTATGGGTCAATTTGAATCAATATTGTATGCAGTAAGTCACTACGATGATCTTTTGTTATACTTCTTCTGTTGCATATTCTTTTGTCACGAACGCTACGTGCTCTTTTGTTTTTCGTAATACAACCATAATGAATTCAGTTCGAGTCTTCTAAAGACCGGTGCAGCACGTTATTCTTTGCATTCGAAGCAGCTTGAAAATGTAATTTCATTTTCTACGATTACGTGCCAAAAAGGCAGTACGTATTTGCAATACCTATTTTTATTTCTAGCAGCACTTGTAATTCGATAAAGAACAAAATTTATAATACGGTGAAGATATTTTTGACGTGACGTAGACGAAGATTATGCAACAGAAACAGAAATAGATAAAGAAAGCTCAGATTCAGAAGAAAGTTTAGACAGCCTTCCTTTAGGCGAACGCATACAAATTGAGCGTAATAATTCTAGATATTATAAATCAAGAGACAACTCTATATTATCGCGAGCTCATGCGATACCGCGAAGTGGTCGAACACGAAAAGAAAACATTTTATAGTCTTGCTCAGGACCGAGCAAGGCAAGCGACAATATTTCATACAATTTCAATGTAATATTAAAATTACATTGTACAAGTTTAATAAATCATTAAAATATTACGCCGTAATAATTAAACAAACTGAGTTTCAATTTTTTATACTCATTTCTTGTAAATATATGATCAATTTGACCCAAATTTACTTATTCGTGTAACTTTACAAATTCCGTGCAAGAATTGCACTGTTCCGTGCAACTCCAACTAAGAAGTTTACTTCGTCTATTAAAATGTAAAAATCATGAAACCACCCAAAAAATTCTTCGATGTTCTATTTTAATTTATTCTCATTCTACCACATATAAGTCTCTCATAAGCCAAAATGACTAACTCCATCGAATTAAATTTATTAAATTTATTTTTATTTATGAAAGGTGAAGCTTGTGTTTTGAGACTAAAATTGGAAGAATTTCAAAAAATGCAGTTAATCATTTTGGCTTCTGAGTGGCTCATATGGTCCTCTATGTAGAAAAAATATTCTAAATACACGATTTTACGCGATGTTTCCTTTGATGCATTCAGTTTCTACGCAAACTGGCAATGACAGTGCAGTGAAACGACGATCCCTTGATCAACTAGGGTAATATAAATAAGTAAGCTCTGGGTGATATTCTAGCGAGGCTGAAGAGACGCGTGTTAACTGACAAGGAGCTGGATGTGATGAGAAACACCATACCCACGCTGCGCCATGGAAATCCACATATGTTCAGAAACCTTCGAGACAAAGGTGAGCAGTTTAGAAAATACCGCCTCTGATTTTTATATCGTCCGTGGGGGGAAAAATTTTAACGACGCCCTAAGTTTGTGTACAGCGTGACGACTATGTCTTTCGAATGTCTCTCGAACGACGAGACGGTATACGTTCTCAAGGATGGAAATTATTCTGTAGAAAAAGAAACATTGCCACGTTTCGCTAAACGTATCTTATCTTCTTGCAGTAAATATTATCTCGCATCTGATAATTTTTCAACATAGTTCTGCGTGTAGTAAAGTAAGATTAAGGTAGTTTCAAATTTGCGATTACATGAATTAGAATTTCACGAAAAAATGTGTTATTCTGTTCTAAAGGAAAAATGTGTATCGCTCGATTTAATTAAAGGTGCGTGCATATTTGTCGTTCTAATAAATTGTTAATATAGAATGTATTTTATAAATGAAATACCAATAGAACTTCACGTGCAACTCTATTTAAATACGACCACTAACGCAAGTCACCAGTGAAATTTGAAAAATTGTCTATAAATTTAATTGTTTGCTCGACTAAACTATTGTATGTATAATGAAACGTGACATACTCTCTTTTCTCGGTCATTTGTTCTTCCCGCTGTAAAATGCAAATATTACACGTTATTAATTAACTCTAAAATTTATTCTTCTTGGTTACTCCATCTTCTAACCTAAAATATTCAATTTTGTCTTAAATGAACAGACACTATTTATTTAACTTTATTGTTTAAATTTCATCATTCATCTGATGAACATACAAATGTCGAAGAAAAATTCGAATTTTGAATCAAAATCAGTGTCTAATTAATTCTGTTAGCATTTCATCGTTCACCTATGCATATGCAAATGCCAGAAAAAAATTCTAATTTTGAATGAAAATTCGTCACGTTGCATTTTAGAAAGTACTCGGTTGTGTCTAATTAATTCAGGTAGCATTTCATCGTTCATCTATGCACATACAAATGTCACAGAAAAATTCGAATTTTGAATAAATATTCGAATTTCGAGTGAAAATTCGACACGTTGCATTTTAGAAAATGCTCGAGCAGCTCTCTTATAAAGGTCTCGCGCAAACGGCCTGGAGATCGGTGAGGCAATTAATCCCGCCACCCCGGCGACGGTCGAAATAACAGGGCAGTGTCGTTAACGAGTCGGCGGTGTAGCTGGTTCGAGCCTCTTCCTGGCTTTTTGTGCGTTCACCGCACGTTTGTCGCGTTAATGGAAATGCAAATAATCGCGCACGGAGCCAGTTTCACACTTCCCTCTAATAAACGAGTTCCGTCGTTCTCTGTGTATCCCACTTTCTCTTTTTCTTCCGTAGCAGCACAATGTTTGCTCGTGTGTATGCGTGGAGCCCAGAATTTCATGGGCCCCAACATACGAGGCCGTGCTTCAAGGAGCACTCGTTACACGATTATGGGATAGCGCTGTGTAGTAGTACGTCATGGCAGCGAATACTAAAAGCAACAAAGCAATCGGTACTGCCAATATCGGTTTGTTCGCTATTCGAAACCTATTCGAAACGTGACTAAATGGAATACTTCCTTATTGCACGTACGTGCACTAAGTAGTACCTCGTAACGGAATGAGCGGCGCGGATTTTATGAATGAAGTGTCGCGTAAAAGTCGCACACCTACGGCGTATGATTCAGCTGCAAAGAAACATTTCTTATAGACAACAAGTTGTGAAACGGTATGAATGGAGTCGCGTGCAAACATTGTCCACGTGTGACTTGGCTCTTAGAGAAATATTCTTTTTTTTTCTTCTTAGGTTGTAGAACGTATCGTGAAATTTATGAATGAAAGTTTGCAAAATGATTAAGTGAAAAGAATTATTGAAGTGTTGTAGTATGGAAGTAACTGAACTTGATATTTTTGAGGAAAATTTGGAATGGTTAGTTTTATTTGTATTATCACTGATATGAATAGTAATAAAGTTCTATCTTTGTTTCTTTCTTTTCTGTTATTGTTTTAGTAATTGTAACGAATGCAAGTATTGGTAAAAACCAATACAGTTAACTTAATTTACAAATTAATTTAATATATTCAGAATTTCTTGTAACTTGAATATAACTTCTACTCTAGTCCCTTGAAATAATTATAGATAAATTGGTAGAAACACAATGTATCTAAAGTTTTATATCCACCAACCTAATACATAACAATTTTATGCAAATATTTGCGTTACTATTAACATTTCTTCTCGAACTTATCCTAAAACTGTAAATGTTTCTAAAAAAAGAGAGAGAAACTTTAAAAAAGAAAGTAATAAACGAAGTAATTGTATGAATAAATCTTCCCCAACTTTTACGAACTTTTACAAAAGTCACTCTTAAATCGTACCAAAAGGAATTTCTCTTTGTAGAACAATCCGAAACAAGAATAACACATTCTAAACGACAGTTTTCAGCCGGAGGGGACGTGGTGTCGAGTTTTTCTGATGTTCGCCGACCTTGCTCGGCGAATAGCTTCATTCACAGTGGAGGGGTTTTAATCCGAAATTCCCGATTGGAATGCGAGTGAAAGAGGAAGAAAGAGAATCGTCCAAGCCAAGATGAGCTTTGTCGTCGACCGTTTCCTTCCACCCACTTTCTTCGTTTTCCGCTTCGTAAACTTTCCTCCGGCTTTCATAGCCGTGAAAGCGTTTTATGGAGTGCTTATGGCACATAAAATCGATTCTGCGGCCGTCCGACACAAAGCTGAAAACACGCGATGGGTGGAGGATGTGTTACCGACGGAGATCAAAATTTAGCTTTGGACGAATATCCCCCGTCCCGTCTGGGTTGCCGTTAAAAGTCTGAGTTACTGGCGTTTCTCGAACCGCGAGAAAAAAAAGGGATGCCTCGAAGTAAATGCCTAGAACCCTATGGGGCGTATCTAAATGTTGCCCGTCGCTACTCTATTCCACGGCGTCGTTCGTGGTACAACCTGTTACGCTTAGATTCCGAGTTAACGCGATTATCGTGGAAATTAGTACGGGAGTTTATCGGGACTTCGCCGCAAACAAAACGGAGGAACCCGTTCGCGCGCGATACATCATTTTCCCATAAGTGGATTTGTCCTTAAATGGATATCAATTCCTCCGAAGTGCCGGCTTCTTTTAGATTCATCTGGACGTTTCGAAGCCCAGGATTAGTTGATGAAAATAATAATAAAGCTCTGGTAGCGAGGTTTTTATTTAATTAATGGTCCAGTTCTATTGTGAAAGATGCGTCTTGGAGCAAATATTTGATGAAGATTGGTTAGCTCGTGGAAAATGTAGCACAAGTCGTGTTTTCTTTGCAACTGTGGTATACTAAAAGTAGACAATTCTAGCAGTGTTTGGAAATATTCAAAGTGGATAAGTTTATGATTAACTCGATGCCTAAACTCGGTAATGAACTTGGTCATTCTACTAATGAGTTTAAGACGTCTAATTGTGGCATTAAGGTAACGATATGATACTAACTGTTTGGCGCAGAAATGTAAATTAAATCACAGTGCACCCATTTATCGGGTAACTGACAAATTACCTCTCTGAAAATATATATCACTTTTGAGCTGATAAAGTCGTCAAGATTCTCTGTAGAAAAGACACTGAATTAATTTCTAATAAAATTCCTCCTAATAAAAATTCAATAAACTGAATAGCAAATGAATCGATTGAGAATACAAAACTTCTGCTTTAATGCAATATTATAACATTTTATGTACATATAATATCTTTAGGCTAATGTTGAAAATGTTAATTAATAATAAATGTTTTCTCGTTGTTTTTGTAGGAATAATTTCTTACACGGAGTATTTGTTTCTTCTATCAATTCTAATCAGTAAGTATCTGTTGACTTTGTTATTAACGAAAGCAGTCTAATAAGATACTTATATTTCAATACAAATTTTAATCGTCGTATATATCCAACAAAAATAAAGGAGACTTTCATTCCAGAACCTAAATCAGGTTTTCGAATTGCATTTAACATGTTCGACACGGATGGAAATGAACGCGTGGACAAAACCGAGTTCCTTGTGGTAAGATAATTTTTTTTTATGCTTTCTCGCATGCATTTATCATAATAATATGAATCTTTCGAATTTTTTAATCGTATGCATATTTGTTCGATAAAAATCTTTGAAAGAAATTATAGGCGCAGTGACTTTATTTCGCAGAATTTTTAAGAAATGTTTCGATGATGTACCTATAGTAGATAATATGAAACAAAATTTTGAAATTAAAATATTTAATGCAAATTAGATTGCTTCTTTTGCTAAAATAAATATTGATTTTGAATTTAGAATATTTATTTCAAATTTTATTATAGATATCAATGTTTTAGAATATTGATTTAAAATTTACAAATTAGATTACTTAATGCAAATTAGGTTGCTTCTTTTGCTGAAATAAGTAATACCGGCATATTGATTAAAAAATTTATTATAAGCACGCTTTTCGAACAATTTAATTCAGCAGTTTGTTATTTTCAATGCAACTACATACATAAATACTTATATGGCACGTATAAGGTGCAACGACAGCTTTTACTGTAATAATTTAAATGCAATGCAATATACATGTGAAACTTTGTTCGATTATTTTCAAATTATTAAATTAATTTACACCCGTAGTTCTACTTGAAGCTAAACGAAACACGTTAGTACCTTCAAAATTCTTGCTAGAATGCAAACTTCAAAATAATAATACAATAAAATTACACAAGCAGTGTTAAAAAATTTAAGAATACTTATGTTCACTGCAAAATACTTGAAACATACTTTACATAAAGTTAATAAAAACCAAACTTCTACTTTGAATTATTGATAACAAATTAAACCAGTAACAGCAAGGTGCAATTTATTTACAAACAACAATTTTAGAATTAGAAAATTTTAATCAAATCAAATTCATATTAAATATAAATTTAACCTAAAAAAAATGAACTAAAGTTGTTTAAAAAGGCTTTTACTATTTTACACCATTAATTTTTCCTTTTTTATAATTTACATATAATAAAATATATAATAAACGATTAACAACGACAATTTTGTTCGAATAAAGATTTATCACTGAAACTTCCCAAACTCTTCTAGTTTCTTTAAACCAAATTATAGTGTCTAATAAAATCAGAACGTAAAGTATCGAGCAACAAAGGTTTTAACATCGGTATCATCAACTGCGATAAATGCAGTGACGCAAAACTCGCTGTACATATTGTGCGATCTCTACGCAACGAAAAATAAATCACGGGATCCTAGAAACGAGGAACACTCACATGATTGAAACACACAAGGGAGAATATTCTACAGGACAGAATAGAATTTTGGAAATTTGCACGAATGCGTTTGTAATTTTCGCAGATTCGACGATTGCTCGGCGGCAGCCTGAAGTACCGGCATCTCGACGATGAAACGAAACGTGCAGTGAGTTTTAATATATTCGTGAGAAAGTGAATCAAAGCCGGAAATCGCAATTTCCATTACTATCGTATGATTCATTTTACTCGCTTGCAATCCTAACCAGCCCGGAACGGCTGTGTGTATTTGACATCTAACAATCCTGCTTAATAGTGTTATTAATTTACACTCTTCTCGATACCTAACAAACCTATTTTAAATATTTTCGACAATAATAATCTTTCCCCATTTATATTTTTATTTTTATTTTTTTTTTAAACTGAGATCAAACGTTTGACGCCAATTTTACACTTTTCTCGATACCTAACAACCTACTGTAAATATTTTCGACGATAATAATCTTTCCCCATTTATATTTTTCTTTTTCTTTTTTTTTTAATCTGAGATCAAACGTTTGACGCAAATATTAATTTTTCTTAATTGATCATTAAGAGTGAAATTGAAGGAGATGTTTTTGAAGCATATGCAGATTGCAAAAGGAACGATTTCAATTAGGAAACGATTAGCAATAGTGTTTTGTGTTATGACGATGATTTTTTTAATTTTTTGGATTTTTATTTTTTAAAGAAGCTCGATGTTTTGTCGGTTATATTATCCTTTTTTTATCCTTCGTTTTTCAGGGCATTTTTATGCTTAAAATTGTTTTTGTTGTGTTTATCATTTCACTCTATTGTGCTATTTTTTTATTTATACTTTCATTCATATTTTTGCTTAATCGTGTTACGATTATTACAGGCTTACGTTTGTATTTGTTATGTTATTCCTTAGTTTTCCTTTTCACATATTCATTTAGACAAGTATCGCTGATATTTTCTATTGTTTCTTTTATGTACTAGTTAAGTCATATAATACCACCAAGAGAAGACTTGATTCATAAACCAAAGCTTCGTAAGAACCAGCAGGTCAATGAGAAAAAACAAATTTTCTCTAATTCTTACGTAAGTTTTTACGATGTGAAATTTACACTGGTAGATGCGTGTGACAATTTGTTTGATTTTTTCCTAAGTGAATTTAATTTTTTTAGTGATTTCCTTTTAACCAACGATCGGTAACTTAAGAATAATTTTGAATTGAATTTTTTGCATTGGTATTGTGTGATGATTTTCATGATTATAATTTTCTTTTAACGTACAATCGATAATTTAAGAATAACTTAACGTTCGTATAATTGAGACGTTTAATTGTTAAATATTTTAATAGCCTGATATTTAGTTGGATTTTCAATTTTCTTTTTTGTAGATTTGGTTGATAAATAATCGAAGACGAGATTTAAAAAAAAAACTTCTAACAGTGACTCTAAGAAATATTGACGAATGAAATTTGTAATAACTTTAAAATGACTGCACGACGTTTATGCTAACATTGAATTGTTCACATTACGATATAACAATTAATCTTGAAACGACTTATGAACATGAGGAAGGATTGAAAAATTGAACGGTAGCTTCTATTTTAATAAACTACTTAAAAAATAATACTTAAAAAATGTTAACACGTTAATTTAACTAGTAAATCACTTCTGTTCGAGAGAAATTAAATACTCGAAAAATTAATTGTACATGTTTTAAAAGTAACATATTTAAAAAGTGAGATAAAATAATCGTTAATAATATCATAAAAGCCTGTATGATATTTTCTCTTATATGCACTACGATACTTGATCGTTTCAATGACGCCGATCACTATAAAACGGTACTGTACATAAATTGGGTAAGTAAAACGTCAAATTCTGCCGCCACATCGACACAAAACTCATAATTAATGGTGTTTTTTTTTTGCTCGTTTTGCAAAATTTGAGAACATTTTCATGATAACATATGTAAAATCTCCTTTTATTAAAATTCTAATAAACTTTCGTTCGAAACGTGATACATGTGCCTTCATATTAATCTCTGCTATGCTAACTCTTTTGCCGTTTATTTCAGACATATTAGCACTGGATGCTGATATCATTGCTGCCATTTTGCCTCTCTATTATGCAAATCCACCTGTATGTTTCTCCATAAAGATTTTGTACTAATTTATAAAATATAAATTATTATAATTCTGTTATTTTGAGTAGATGGAAAAGGTCTTCAGCCACGCTTGGAGAGGACGCCATGGCACCGAAACGAAAGAAAAGTTAGACCTTCTAACGGAAAGGCAAACCACTCCTGAAGATATTCAGATTCAATATATCAACGATGAACAGGTGATAGGTTCTTATAATTATAGTATTCCATATAACTAAAGAACCATCCATTGAAAAGAACATCTCGTGGAAGTAAATTTATATTCGTTTTTATAATTCTTTTTCCCTAATTTTACTTTTACTAACTGAAGGATGTACAGGGTGGGCCACGTAAAAGAGGTCACCTAATTATCTTCTCTATGTAGCTATGAATTTTTTTCTTTTTTGGTTTTTTTTAATGTGATCTGCGTTTTTTTACATGAATGTATATATTTTCTACTGCATTTCAAACATGCATAATAATATGACCTTAAAATTACTGAACTCTAAATTTTTAAATCAAATGTGAAACTACTTTTCATTTTTTGCCATTTCTTCCACCAAAAAAAATTTTTCTTCTATCTTATTCACCCTTTAAAACTATTTAAATTACATATAAAAATTGTCTCGTACCACCATAGCTAAAGAAGATAACTAGATTTCACGTGACCAAACTTGCATATAAATAAAAATATTGATACTACTTATAATTAGCGCTATTAAAAAGTTAGTAAGACGTCTTCTAGAGCCTTAAAATAAAAAAAAATAAAGAAATCGGCGCTGTTAATAAAAAATAAAATAAATTAGTTAATAAAAATAAAATACTAATAATAATTAATGTTATTTTCAGGGCTCTTGCAACGACGGCATGCAGTTGATACGACTCTAATGATACACTTTTTTGGGAAAGATGGCTCGAATGAGCTGAAGTTCGAAGACTTCAAACGTTTCATGGAAAATTTACAGCAAGAAGTTCTAGAACTTGAATTCCACGAATTCAGCAAAGGTCGCGATAACATCTCTGAATTAAATTTTGCTAAAATTTTGTTGCGATATACCCATCTGGATACTGACGAGTAAGTTTTCTCCTTTTTACAAGAGAGATTATTTTTCAAGGCAGACTAATTTTGATGAAGTTTAATTGGCGTGTAATTTTCGAAAAAGTATTCCACGCGTAATTTTCTCTATTGGCAATCGTTCATGTCGAAGGGATGAAAACAGCTCTCTCAAATTGAGGATAAAGGGACTGAAGTGAAACGAATCTCGTCGAATCTCAATTTCACTTCTTCCACATGGACGATTGCCGATTAAAAAAAGTACTCGTCGAATATTTTTTTAAGAACTATACGCGACATAAATTTCTCCAAATCGATAACTATCTTTGTCAGTATAATATTTATTCTATTGAACATTCTTCGTAAAAAACCATCTGCTTAAACAACACTTTTATTTATTAAAATACTAATTTTTTTTATTCCAATATGTCATGCATACATATTACAGTAAAACAACTTATTTAATCAAAGCTTGTTTCCTGTTACATTATGATAAACGAATTTTTACTACCTTATATTCATTACCTTGTAGCTTCTTACAAAATTAAAACATACCGATTTAGTATAATAGAAACTAATAGAATTTAGTATTAAATGCACGATGTTTCCTTCATTTTTAATAGGTACCCATAAGTTCTTAATTTACCTAAAGTAAGTTTCGTTAATTGTATTGAGTAACACAAAGTTTGCATGATTTGTGTATTTTTTGTTTATAGATACGACAAGTATTTGGATAGAATACTGTCGAATCCAGACCTTCAAATTGGAATTACATTTGAAGAATTTCGACGTTTTTACCAGTTCCTGAATAACCTTGATGATTTCTCAATAGCTATGCGAATGTACACCCTAGCAGATCATCCAATATCAAAAGGTTGTAAAACAAACTAAGTATGAATTATGAACAATCGTATATCGGTAAATTTTTCCTTTCAGGTGAATTCCAACGCGCTGTAAAAATCTGTACAGGAAGTGTACTTAGCAATCATATTATCGACACGGTTTTCGCACTTTTTGATGAAGATGGCGATGGCCAATTATCCTATAAAGAATTTATAGCGATAATGAAAGATCGACTTCACAGAGGGTTCAAAGTAAGTACTAGTTGAATTAGTTCATTTCTAGATGTATCATGCTTGATAATAAATGTCTAACAAACTGCAATTGATACAGCAATACTATTACATGATACAGAAATATGCTATTTGCACAGTAAATTAAATACACTAATCTTAAAAGTAATTTCTGTAACTAAAAATTTTTCATTTGTGCAGAAAAACATGAGAAGAACATTTAAAGAGCAACTAT